GTTTCAATTATTAAAGATCGTTTTAGTTTTTGGTATGCATTATAAAATGAATCATTTTCAATATTATCTGAAACAATAAGTAATAAAGATTTGAACATTTTTTTATCCTCATTAAGCTCTGCTTTTCTGGATTCGATTAATTTAATTCGGTCATAAGTAGATGATTCAATACTAATATCTTCCTCAATTATATCTTCAGATGCAATTAAAAGTTCTTTATTGGCCTCATTCCAAGGACTATTTAATGGATGAATGCTTAGAAGGTCTTTACCAAAGTATATAAATAGATAATTATGTCTTCGCTTTGTGTCTTTAAATAGAGGAAAGAAATTTGGATGCTTATTCAAATAATTTTTTACAAGATGCTTACATAACATGTAAGCGTTTTCAAGGAAGGTAGAATATGAACAAATCCACAAATTTATATTTGTATAATATATACTCTCCATGCTCACTTCTTTTTTTAAATTATTTTTCTAATCGCCTTTAAAAACATCCCACTACGAAGGAAAGGTTCGATTATTATTAATTTTATCCCAGTTATTTATTTGATCTGAGATTAATTGTTTTGTTAAGATATGTGTTAAATGATTCAGACGAGGTCGGTTATATCTATGCTTATAATTATATTTTAAAACACGCCAATGAGATTCTACTAGCATAGTAGTTCTTGATAATGGTAATGCCTTTGGGTAAGAGGCTCGAGCAAAAAGATCCCAGTAGTTTTTTTTATACCAATTGAACCACAAGTACCCCTATAGGCGAACAAGGTTTTTTGCTTACAGAAGTAATATGCCTTCCAAACAATTTGCCGATATATTTCATTTGAGTTAAGAAATATATCTTTTCTAACAAGAATAAGAGGGTGTAATAAGGCATGTTTTTTAACCATTCTTAGAATCTCTTTTATATTTTCTTCAGGACAAAAAATGGTTTCGTGTTCGTCAGGTATCCAAGATTCGTCAATAAATTCAAATATACTTTTGGCATTAGCTGCAACTTATAAAGTATATTGACTACTTTTAATTTTTTTTTCTTTAATTTCCGTTCAATGGCATGTTCTACATGCTATAAACAAATTTGAATATTTACAATCTTTGACCAAGCTTCTCTTACAGCTGCTATTTCGCCAGCATCTTTATTTAGAAGAACAAAACTAGGTAAAATCCTGTTACTTCTTAGTGCCAAAAGGAACTTTTTTAAAACTTTTACTCGTGTATTGATATAGTTATTTGGATTTTGTAGAAGTTCTTCTGATGCTGTAGAAGTATAAGATATAGATATGCCAATGGAACCCCGTGTCCACCATAGTTATTTATTATAGCGAAAAGTTCAAACTTTTCTTAATTGGTTTTAAATGTTGAATTAATAATTATTTCATCGATATAATTCAACATTTAATGAAAAAAGGAGGTAATAAAGCCTAGTAATCGAATAAAATTATTTTTAAGATAGAAAATAACTTTATATTCCTGATTAAATAGTTCACTTTGTTCTAAAAAATAACAGGCTGAAAGAAGTTGGTTGGATATGTCCATAATATATTGCTTCGCAGAAAATTTAGAGACCCAGTAGTATACTTGATGATAGGTATGTATTTTAGGATTAATTAATTTTTTTGAGAAAGCCTTCTATAAAATTCAATTTTTCTAAAACCTTTGTTTATATTTCTAAATATATAAGTAATAGCATCCTGAGGTAAGTTATTTTCATGATATGTTGGATAATCATGAGATATTAAATGTTGAATGTTTATATCTGCTAGGCGCTTATCTGTATTAATAACAATTTTAACTTTTCTATTACAAGGATATCGATTAATTGCAAGTTTCGCTTCACTTATTCTTTTTATTAGTTTATTATCAGAACTTATATATTTACGATCATCTCTTTGTGCACAACCAAAATAAGCTGTTACTTTTCTAGTAAATTGATTATTTTTTTTGTGTGAATAAATGTTTCGTATTTCACAGTAATAACGAGACCCCATTTCTATTGGTAAAAGAAAAGGTAAGGTTATATTGAGATATCTATTTTCTTCATCATCGTTATTTAATATATAATTAACTAATTCATCTTCCAATCTAAAAGTTCCTGAAAAGTGCACTTCTTCAACGTCAACAAAACAACTTGCAATTATACTTTCTAGATTTACTAAATCATATAAAGCTTCATCATCACTAGCAATTATTTCTTCTTCATTATCATCAATAATATTAGCCAGGCTTAGACTTTCCGAATACATGGTTTCTTTGCTTTCAACATTTACTGATTTTCCTTTATTTTTATTTGCACAGGTATTACAATGAGAAAATTCCTTTAGACTCTCTTTGCTTTGCTGAATAAAATCATCAATAATTTTGGACTTGTCACAGTGAGAACATCTTTTTACACGAATGTTGAAACTTTCTATACTTTGACTAGAAGAAGCCATTGTTTGTTAAAATTAGATGTGTATAAATAATAAAGATAGAAAATCAACTATAATTTTGTTGGAGAATTAGGTGTATGTGAATTTAAATAATTGGATGGCGAAATAAATACAATTTAGATGGTAAGTAAATACGATTGGAATGGTGAGATAAATATATTAGGATGGTGAAATAAATATGATCTGGATTGCAAAGTAAATATGATTGGGATAACAAAATAAATATGATTAGAATGGTGAAATAAATATAATTAGGATGGCGAAATAAATGCGATCAGGATAACAAAATTAATATAGTCAGGATGGTGAAATAAATGCGATCAGGATGACAAAATTAATATGGTCAGGATGGTGAAATAAATATGATCAGGATGGCAAAATAAATATAATTAAGATGGCGAAATAAATACGATCAGGATGGCGAAATAAATATGATTAGGATGGCGAAATAAATACGATCAGGATGATGAAATAAATACGAACAAGATGGTGAAATAAATATGATTAGAATGGCGAAAGGAATATATTTTGATTTATATAATTTGAACAACGAATTAACTATAACTTTATAGCAGATTAAGTATATGTAGTTTAGTTAAGCTTTT